TTTAAGCATGTCCGAAACTTAAAACCAAGATCCAGTAAAGTTATAGGCATGTCTGAAACTTAAAACCAAGATCCAGTAAAGTTTTAAGCATGTCTGAAACTTAAAACCAAGATCCAGTAAAGTTTTAAGCATGTCTAAACTTAAAACCAAGATCCAGTAAAGTTTTAAGCATGTCTGAAACTTAAAACCAAGATCCAGTAAAGTTTTAAGCATGTTTGAAACTTAAAACCAAGATCCAGTAAAGTTATAGGCATGTCCGAAACTTAAAACCAAGATCCAGTAAAGTTTTAAGCATGTCTGAAACTTAAAACCAAGATCCAGTAAAGTTTTAAGCATGTCCGAAACTTAAAACCAAGATCCAGTTAAGTTTTAAGCATATCCGAAACTTAAAACCAAGATCCAGTAAAGTTATAGGCATGTCCGAAACTTAAAACCAAGATCCAGTAAAGTTTTAAGCATGTCTGAAACTTAAAACCAAGATCCAGTAAAGTTTTAAGCATGTCTGAAACTTAAAACCAAGATCCAGTAAAGTTTTAAGCATGTCTGAAACTTAAAACCAAGATCCAGTTAAGTTTTAAGCATATCCGAAACTTAAAACCAAGATCCAGTAAAGTTATAGGCATGTCCGAAACTTAAAACCAAGATCCAGTAAAGTTATAGGCATGTCTGAAACTTAAAACCAAGATCCAGTAAAGTTTTAAGCATGTCTGAAACTTAAAACCAAGATCCAGTAAAGTTTTAAGCATGTCTGAAACTTAAAACCAAGATCCAGTAAAGTTTTAAGCATGTCTGAAACTTAAAACCAAGATCCAGTAAAGTTTTAAGCATGTCTGAAACTTAAAACCAAGATCCAGTAAAGTTTTAAGCATGTCTGAAACTTAAAATCAAGATCCAGTAAAGTTTTAAGCATGTCTGAAACTTAAAACCAAGATCCAGTAAAGTTTTAAGCATGTTTGAAACTTAAAACCAAGATCCAGTAAAGTTTTAAGCATGTCCGAAACTTAAAACCAAGATCCAGTAAAGTTATAGGCATGTCTGTAACTTAAAACCAAGATCCAGTAAAGTTATAGGCATGTCCGAAACTTAAAACCAAGATCCAGTAAAGTTATAGGCATGTCTGAAACTTAAAACCAAGATCCAGTAAAGTTTTAAGCATGTCTGAAACTTAAAACCAAGATCCAGTTAAGTTTTAAGCATATCCGAAACTTAAAACCAAGATCCAGTAAAGTTATAGGCATGTCCGAAACTTAAAACCAAGATCCAGTAAAGTTATAGGCATGTCTGAAACTTAAAACCAAGATCCAGTAAAGTTTTAAGCATGTCTGAAACTTAAAACCAAGATCCAGTAAAGTTTTAAGCATGTCCGAAACTTAAAACCAAGATCCAGTAAAGTTTTAAGCATGTCTGAAACTTAAAATCAAGATCCAGTAAAGTTTGAGAAAAAGTACAAGTGGGCTTTGACAATTTCAATTTGAATTTTTTTTATAATTAAGAAATAAGAAAAAGATATAAGTAGGCTTTGACAATTACAATTTCAATCAATTGTATAATTAAGATAAGAAAAAGTTCGTAGTGAACTTTGAAAATTTGTTGAAAGTGAAAAATCATTGTGGAAAATTAATTCAATTATTTCACACGTATTTAACACACTTTCACACACATTGTGAAAGTAAAATTGAAATTGTGCTGTCGTTGGAAATAAGATCCAGTAAGTATAAGCCTGTTTGAAACAAAGACAAAATAATCGAGCAGGAAAAAAATTGAGAATCATACAAAAAAAAAAAAAATTCCAATTGCAAAAAAAAAAAAAAAAAAATATTTTCATTATGATACAAATGAAGTTTGTATTTAAAGACATAGGTACAGTATGCTGAAGGAACTTGCTAGTTCCAACATTTTTTCACATACATTTAACTTAATGCATACTGTCACAACCATTTTATTAATATCACACTTATACCAACAAATATTTTCTGTTGTATGAATGTAAACAAATGTGTTTTGGAATAATCGGTTATAATTTGCCAAAAAATGATAGTTTTTTGCATCTTGTGCCTCACTGGAAGCATCTTATGACTCCAAAAACTATACAGCAAATCTATGACCCAATATCTATCAGATAAAAGTAACATTAAGGCTTGATATTGAGTTTAAATTGAGTTATCGCTCCGAATAACTAACTAACTAACTAACTAACTAACAGAATGCCTTTTTTGGCGATTTCGCGGAACTGGAAGCACGAAATAAGATGCAGTTTTTACCATTCGATAGGTATTTCGAGGCACAGACTTTTACATATCAGACTTATGGAGTGATTCGGTAAGACTGAAGCAGCAAGTTAAAAAAACTGATTTTCTGTAAAACCAAAAACAATATATTCACAAAAATTGAAAATTTTGTGTGAATATGAAAGGTTTCGTAAGCTTTTTTGTTGTTTGGGAAAGTGTTGAAAATTTTTATGAGATTTAAGAGGAATTTTTTGGGGTTCCATGATGTTATCAGTTTTAAAAATGAATTCTCATGGGTTTTAATTTTTGTGATAAAATGTTGGAAAGGTGGACTATTAATAGAGGCATAGCTAAAAGTGAGCTGAAGTGTCTCGGTAGCGGAATGGTTAATTACTTCGGGACCTAATTATTGCAATACTGACAACAGCGATCATGGGTTCGAGACTCGCCATGAGAAAGTTTTTCTTGTCCTTTTTCGAAACATATGTACTGCAAATGAGGCTCATAGCTTCCTTTTTTAGGTTACAGGCTGGAATGTCATCAAAGGAGTGGTTCGGATCCCACTATAAACTGAAGGTCTAGGTTTTGAACCCCAAGACTCTCTTGATACTAGCCCTTTAACGCATATAACGCGCAGCTATGGATCTTTAGGTCTGAACAGCTTAAGTTCATTATTTTATTATTTCTCAAAACACATCGTTATTAAATTAACACAATGATTAAGTTTGATGATGTCTCATATTACATCCAACACTTTATTTCATTTACAAAATCGATTTCCTTTAATGCTTGAAAAAATAACAAAAAAAAAACAGAAAAACATATAAAAGAAGATAAAAATTGAATTTTAATGTTATATAGAAGATTTTCCACATCTGATACAATCCATCAATCGTTACACGCACACACGACTTGCTTCCTCTTTATGTTTTACACATATTTCGTTCAAGGATTCGATTTTGATGTTCAATGTTATAAAATTTCATGTCACTTGAAGAACATAAAAATCAATTTAGGTAGCAGCAGTAGTGACAACAACAAAGTCATAAGATTTGAAACGAGATAAGAATTTACGTTTTCAAATTTTCAATATCGATGATGCCACTTCCTTTTGGTTGCTAAGAGCGTGGATTTTTCTAGGAATATGATGGAGACGAAAATAAGAGGAAGAAGGACATGAGATTTATTTTTTATCAATGTCAGCAATATTTTTTATTTTTGACATGATGGACATTGAGGGAATACTTACGAGGAGGTACACTAATTGAGAGAGTGCCTATGTATTCAATGGTTGCAACTTAGATCGTTCGAAGAAAAGATTTTATTTAATAGCTAGTCAACGATAAATCATGTAAGTGCAAGGCAAGTAAAAAGAGTGTAACTTATATATGGGATTTAGCCATATAGTCTTCTAGCACCAATCTAACCCCCGATAGCTCAGTGGCAGGAGCATGCGACTGGGATTCGGACGATGTGAGTTCGAGTCCTACTCAGGATCCGTTATTCGATGTTATTCTATTTTCTGTGGTTTTGTCATCTGGGAGTTTGCTTCTTTCTCCTTGATGTTTCAATAATAATATGCAATATTACTAAACCTGGATTTGCCCGATTATCATTGAGTAGATTTATAGTATTTAAAAATGTTAAGGACTGCTAATGCTTACTTAAGACTATTATAGTAAGACTCAACATGTAAGTGCCTTAGAATGTACCAAGAACTCACTAGACTTAGACCTACCATCAAGTAATCACCACAAAAATATTTATGCCTGTCAGCCTTCACACCCACACCACTTTGATCATTTTTCACCAATTCTCTTCCTCTTATTTCACTTTTTTTTCTAAACACACAAGATTAAAAGGAAGAGAAATCGAAGCAAAACATAGAAAGAACATTAAACATTCGATTAGAGTCTGGTTTTTCAATTTGATTTTATTGCTATTCTCTTTGTGTCTCCACATCTCGTTTAGATGATGATAAATTAAGTTCAGTCTTGCTGTGAATTTTTTGTTATTTCTATTTTTATAGGTGGACTTTTTATGTGTTTCATTTGTGTGTTGATTTGGAAATTAAAGTGATTTTTTTTTTCGTTGATTTATTAAAGATTTTTGTGAATGCTTTAGCTTGAATTGATTTTTTGCTAGTTATAGACTCATTGTTTTCCTTATTATGACTGTATTATCTTTTAGTTGGTGATGGTGCAGTTGTCAGGACCTAAAGTTTAACATACTAAGGTCACAATATTTGATTCGAAACTTATTAATGCTCTGTGTTATTTTATGAATCGTATAGTTTGCCATAGAACCTTAACCTTAACGTGTAAGAAATACATTAGAAGTAATTAAAATCCAATTATATAAGCTACATCCAAACTTAGCTATCAAAATCAAGCAAAAACACTAATATTTTACTGATTGTCTCCTTGTAACTTAAAATCTTTTACACAATTTCACAAAATCTAATAGAAAAAAATCGCAAGTATCAAATTTACTTAATGTGTAAACATCTTTTAATCCAATTTTATATCTAACTTGATTATCCTTCTTAAATGCTATTTGAAATTAAAAAACATTCTCTTCGAGCTGGAAGAAAAAAATTCTTTACGGAAATTAAAAACTTTTCAGTTCAAGTTCCAGCTGAACATAAACTAGAATAAAAGAAGAACGAAGAAAGTTTTAAGGAAAATAAAATAAAAAATTCTCAATCAATTCTGCTAAAATTGCATTGCAAAAGTTTTGTCTTGAACTTTCGATTAAAGTCGAGCAAATAGAATGGAAACTGATGTAAGTGAGTAAGTTTCATCGTCTTCATTATGCCGAAGTAATTTTAAACTTAATTGATCTCTTCTTACATTCATTGGAAGCTGTGGATGAAGGATAGTTCCTGAACAACACAGAAGAAGTTAAAATAATTGAAAAAGGCGCATTTTAATTTAACTGCAGGTATCAAATAACTTTGAAAATTTCAAATTTAAAATAAATTTCAATTAAAATTGCAAATTTTTTAAAAAAATCTAAGTTTTAAATTTTAAAAAACTTCAAAAATTTCAAATTTTAAATAGTTTTAAATAATTTGAAAAAAAAATTAAGTTAAGTAAGTAATATTTTATATTTCAAAAAACGTTTAAATCTCAATTCAACAAAAAATCAATCGATACATAAAGTTAAAGATCTAAAACAATCAAAACTTAAAATTGTAAAATTTTAAAAAATTAGCTAATAAATTTTGAATTTAAAAGAACAATGTGCTCACAACTTCCGTCTTCCTTCTCGTAGCCTTTATAAATCCAGTTTATATCCATCCACTTAAACTTAGAATTTTCTTCCCCATTTCATTCAACTAAATATGTCTTATCGAATGATGAGGGATGGAATGAATGTCGAAGAGGAGCAGAACGAGTTCAAGAATTTAATTGCATTTCTTAACTTTTCCATTCAACTTCAATGAACTCATTTCACATTCAATTACAAATTTTAAAAGCGAAGATAATTTTTTTGGATTATTTTATATCCTGTAGAATGTTCAGGATTACTTGATTTATGACTGAGTGTCTGCATAGCAGAGAAATAGCTATGAGGGTCTGGATTGCCCTTAAAAGGGGGGGGGGGGGGGGTTCCAGAACCTCCTAGCTCTTGCTGCAAAGTAGAGTAGCTTAAAATTAAATCTTTAAAATCATAAAAAAATGCGCTTCGGCCCTTAAAAATACTCCAAATACAATCCAATTACTTCTTGCATTCTCATTCAAAGTTGATGTAAGTTGAAGGCGATGAAAGTTTCTTTTATGCTCCTTACATTGTACATAATCGATGAGAATGCAATGATGATGAAGAAGAAAAAATATAAAAAAATTCTCCTTTAATCGATTTTGAGTTATGAAGCCGGAAAATACTCTTCCTTTAAACATTTTTCCTTTTCATGAATGAAGAATCAAAGGAACTTTCCTTTCATCTCAATCGCTAAGGATGAATGTTGAAGTTTGTTTGAATTTTTTTCTTCTTTTTTTATGATTTTTTGTAAGATGAATAAAGTAGTTTGCCATATTGCTATCGTTCGCCCTTGAAGCTGATGCTAATAATAGAATATTTATATGGTAGGTAAGGAGGAGGGATGATGATGTTTTTGCTTAGTCATGCCTCTAAGTATGTAAGTCCGTATCGTGATTGAAAATGCATTTGATTGTCTACAAAAGTTTCATAAGGAGTTGTTTATTCGGCTTTAAGCTTTTATGGAAGTAGGTTAAAGGAAAATCTGAAGCAGGGGCGAAGCCAAGAATTTGAAAAGGGGGGACAAAAAAATTTTTGTATGGAAATTTTTAGGGGGGGGGGGGGGGGGGGAATTTATGATTTTTTCATAAAAACCCTAGCAAAATAAAGAAATTTCTGTTTACGTTGGGGGATTTGTCCTTGGCTCCGCGCCTGATCTGAAGCTCACTTCTTGATAAGGACATGGCCAGAAGTTTTTCAAGGGGATTGAGTTGGGTAAGATCCATATTTTTATCATTTAAATGAAAATAAAACTTCTTTTCAACCTAGAACTTTCATGTACGTATCCACATTTAATTCCCGCATATTAAATGAGTAGGAATAAGAAACTCAGAAGCATCTACTGAAATATTATGAGTGGTGAATGAACAAAGGTACAAAAACATATTTACAAGGATCAAAAGTTTTTATATTTATTGCAAGAAGATGAAATAGAAACAAAAGATTAAAGGTAAGGAAATGGGTTTGATAAAGCTGCAAAATAGGGGTTCAAAATTTTCATTTTTGGAAGAAGGAAGTTTACTTACTAGCAGAGTTGGCAAATGTCCTGGAGACGCCTCTAAAGTGGAGCATAGAAAAAGAGTCTAAGTAATGCGACTTTGCATTTTTTCATTCAAATGGGGTACATCAGGGGATCAAGGGATTATTTTTGTAATAAACAAGAACGAGTGAGGAGTAATTTCAAGAGTTTGTCTGTGGTGATAATCAGTGGTAAAGCCAGGGCAAAGGAGGTTGGGTTTAATCCCAACTAGTAACCCCACCACCAGACGCGTAGCCAGTGGAGATTCAGGGGGACAGCCCTTTCCACCACCCCTCCCCGTCGTTTTCAGAAGTTTCTTCATTCTGCAAGGGTTTTTTTATGAAAAATCTGCAAAAATACCCTCCACCCTTCTTAAAATTTTTTCATACAAAATAATTATTTGTCCCCGTTTTCAAATCCCTGGCTACTCCTCTGCCCTCCACACAAAAAATTCAACCTTTCTCGATAATTTCTGTCTACGCCCTTAATGACAACTTACTCTAGTTTAAAAATTCATATTTTATATTACATATCAATTCTATGCAATCAATCCTTAAATTAAAGTTCTTGATTTATTTCCCAAATATTGCATGACGTACCATTTAAGCTAATTCTGCTTAATTCCAAGCATCAAATACAGCTCTCCAATTTCAATACAGCAAAATGTTCATCAAAGCCCCCAAACAACAAACACAAACAAAAAAGTAAAGTATCAAATTCAATTCATCTACATTCCAACTGCTTCTGTTCTCACAATTTCTCAGAATTATCTTTCGGTTTGAATGTAAATACCTCCGAGTTTGCATCATCCTTTTATATTCATTTTCTGCTTTTTTACATGAATCCACATGAGATGTTTCACAAAAGAGTATGAAACTTTTTTTTTGATCTTCTTCTTATTTTCAGTGTTTTTGTTTGCTTTTCTCACAGATTGTTCTGCTGCTTGTATCTGCTGTAAAACTTTAACATAGTTTATAGTTTCTTCAAAATTAATTTAAGTGTTTTGGAAGGAAAAACATTGATTTTGAAGATGGAAGTTTTATTATGGAAATTTGAAAGGGAAATTCTGAATTTGAATGCATTAAATTAATTTTAAACTTCATTTTCTTATTATATTGAAGACATTTGTTGACTCACCTTATTTGCTAAGAAAGTGAGGATGGGATGAAGCTACATAACACCCCATACAAATTACATTATCATTCGTCTAGCCATAAATTAGTCAATTTCTCAATTCTAATGCACACAATACTTCAAAAAGACACCCAATTTGTATCAACATTGGCACTTTATCCCACTTAAAGTAATCATATTTGATACACAATAGCATTGACATCTCCGCACACACTCATGATTTGCCAAAATGTAATTTACTAAATAATGAAAATTATGTGGTATAAAATAAATTTGATTATGAGACAAAATAATTAATTGATTTCGATGTTGTGCCTTATCTCATGAGGGAGATGATATATTTCGCATTTATGAGTAATGACAATCTAAATTTGTTTTTGTTGCTGTTTTGTAATTTATGTAATTATTGGGTTTGTTTTGAAAATTTTGAGGTTAGGGTTTAAAATTATTTTTTTTGGGGGGTTGTTTGTTAATGACGTGTGTTATTTAATGAAGTTCTGGAGGATACTGGTCCATATCAAAGTAAAAATCAAGCAATATTCTTATGTAAGGTCTTGCTTGCTTTAAAGGACAATTTTCTAGCTAAAATTCTAAATGCCCCGCTTTTTTGAACCTAGTTTTCTTTAAAAATGCTTAAAAATTTGTTCTGTCCTGCTTTTTTAGAGCTGAATCAGGACATTTCCTGCGTTTTGAACAAAAATCGTCAAGAACCCACTCGAAAAGACCAAGTCGGTTTATCAAATAGAAATCCAGCGTCAAACCAGCATGACTCTAGCATGGTGCTGGCTTCGATTTAAATCCAGCACCATGCCTGAGTCACACAGCCCAAACCTTTAATTTAAAACCATTTTGTAAATATATTGACTCTCAAAATTTCATGAATAATATTTTGCGGAACTGTTTTGACACTCTATACATCCACGACACATTGTCTCTGAACAACATCATCATCAATCCAATTTCCAATCATGATAGTCATACATCACAAAATAATAATAATGTGAATATAATTTATTACCCGAATGACTTATTATCATCAATGCGATAAATTTTATAGTCTGACGAAATGGAATATTAACAATGTATTTGATTATATGACAATGAACTGTCCTGTCATCACCAAGCTATATTGTAATAGAAAGAACAATTAGTTTCTAATTTTGGACTTAATTTGAGGTCAATTGATTATAATGTATGCAATTATTATTATTTTTCGTCGCAGAGGACCGAATGATGGATTGTTTTGAAGTGGAATTGATTTTTTAAGGTGGTTTTAGGGGCTGTTTGTTGATAATTGTTTTCAATTCTTTGTGCATTTAATGAGTCTTTGTGGAAGTTTAATTTTTGCTGGTTTGATTATTGAGACAAAACTTTAAATCACTAAAAATAACAAAATTAATTGCCGACCCCCCCATAATAACCACCTCCAAAAATGCGCTTAGCCACACTAGCTTTCTTAATCCTCGACTCTCATCTCAACCTATGTAGACTGGTGCTTTTAATCTTTCTCGCATTTACCGCACAGCATACCGCACTTATAGCACTTGCCTTTATATCTCTCATCATCATCATCATCATCATCGCCCGGCATCGTCATTATCAACAGCCAGCACAACACAACATAACCACCAAGCTATTGTTTGCTGTTAAGCTGAATTTTTTTTTCTAGTTGATTGCTTTTTTCTCTTCTTTTTGCTTGTGTATCTATAAAAGAAAAAATTATCACAGGTGCGAAATTATTTTGCTGTTCGACATTTGCCATGTGAATGTGCTTATATGTGTATATGCATGCTTCTTTTATAGTTGAGAAAATTAAAATGAAAATGAATGGAAAAATGAAAAGAATATAATCAAGGAGGTGAAGATTTGGT